TGGTTAATATGTATGATATCCCATATTTCTACAACTTGACAGAGTCCAGGTCTGCCTTGAGCTTCCCGAGTGCCGCCATCTTGGCCTCCCGCCTCCTCCTGGCCTTCTCCAGGCTGTCCAGAGGCACCTCCTTCACCATCTCCCCCTCGATGTGCTCGGCCAGAGCCCCACCCATCTGCTCAGGGGCACCGAACGACTGCTGCACCCGGAAAATCATGTCTCCATACCGCTCACAGTAGCTTCCAAACCCTTATGAGGAAAACATGTTATTAAAAAAAGAGTCGAATCAATTCATCGAAACGTCTTGTATTTATATCTTGGCTTATACATTATGTTTCACAAACAATAACATGGGCATTCTGAATTTTATTAGAATTGTTGCGATGGGCAGATTCATACACCCTTCCTCACTGAGACGGACGGACGGACGGACGGATTGATACACCCTACTTCACTGGGACGGACAGACTGATACACCATTCTTCACTGGGACGGACAGACTGATACACCCTTCTTCACTGGGACGGACAGACTGATACACCCTTCTTCTCTGAGACGGACGGACTGATACACCCTTCTTCACTGGGACGGACAGACTGATACACCCTTCTTCACTGAGCGGACAGACTGATACACCCTTCTTCACTGAGACGGACGGACTGATACACCCATCTTCACTGAGACGGACGGACTGATACACCCTTCTTCACTGAGACGGACAGACTGACACACCCTTCTTCACTGAGACGGACGGACTGATACACCCTTCTTTACTGAGACAGACTGATACACCCTTCTTCTCTGAGACGGACGGACTGATACACCCTTCTTCACTGAGCGGACAGACTGATACACCCTTCTTCACTGAGACGGACGGACTGATACACCCTTCTTCACTGAGCTGACAGACTGATACACCCTTCTTCACTGAGACGGACGGACTGATACACCCTTCTTCACTGAGACAGACTGATACACCCTTCTTCACTGAGACGGACGGACTGATACACCCTTCTTCACTGAGACAGACTGATACACCCTTCTTCACTGAGACGGACGGACTGATACACCCTTCTTCACTGAGACGGACGGACTGATACACCCTTCTTCACTGAGACAGACTGATACACCCTTCTTCACTGAGACGGACAGACTGATACACCATTCTTCGCTGAGACGGACAGACTGATACACCCTTCTTCACTGAGATGGACAGACTGATACACCCTTCTTCACTGAGACGGACGGACTGATACACCCTTCTTCACTGAGACAGACTGATACACCCTTCTTCACTGAGACGGACGGACTGATACACCCTTCTTCACTGAGACGGACGGACTGATACACCCTTCTTCACTGAGACAGACTGATACACCCTTCTTCACTGAGACGGACAGACTGATACACCATTCTTCGCTGAGACGGACAGACTGATACACCCTTCTTCACTGAGACGGACGTACTGATACACCCTTCTTCAGAGACGACAGAGACGAGAGATGTTTATTCCTACTTACCTTCAGCGTTGAGATGTGCAGTCTGGAAAGGCCCGTTGAAGGCATATCGCCGTCCAAGTCCCGCAGACAAAGCCTTATTGACACCATCAGGGCTGAGGAATCCACCCTGCGGGAGATGAAGACAAAGATGAGCAGTGGTTTAGATGGGTCCCTGAAGCTCGAGGACAGCTGCACCATTTACAAGAGTCAAAGCTCGTGTGTACAATAACGACAAAGTGATGTTTAAGTCCGACAAACGATTCTCAACAAAGGCGAACAGGACAGGGAGTCGTACCTTCACGAGTCGGTAGCTTTCCGCCATGATGGCAAATTGCATCCTGTTGAGGACAAATCCTGGGATTTCTGTCTTGAGTGTGATGGGAGACTGTCCGACCGCCTTCATCAGGTCCTGTGCCCGAGTCATGGTTTCCGGGGCTGTCCAGGGAGCAGGGACCAGCTCAACAGCCCGCGAGTAGAAGGGAGGGTTTGTCTGTGTGTAGAATAGAATGTCGTGATGTTTTTTGTTTAATGAGCTACATTTTTGGAGCTACATTGAGTGAGTGAGTTCGGCTTTAACGCCGCGTGTAACAGTATTCCACATATCACGGCATGTCAGCTTTATGTAAGAGGAAAGGCCGAAGCACGGGTTATGTGCTGACAAACCCAGAAACATAATCGGAGCGACGGATTCGAACCCACGATCATAGGTTTCTGGCGTACCCAACGGACGAAGCTCCGCACACGAATTGCGGCGCCTTTGACCACTGGGCTACCCGTGCCCCCGAGCTCCATTGACATCTTGAGACGCCGTACCTCGATTACTCTCCCACTTGACATAAGGCAAGAAAACTGATCTACTGATGTATTGATATACTGGGTATGTTTGCTCAGGATTACAGCAAGTAAAAAAACCGACGTGATTCAGGAATATGACGCAGGTAGAATGCTGCAGGTGGGAGTTATTTATCGTACAATAAAACACTGCAGGGAGAATACACCATGAGGGACGCAGCCCCGACTGGGTTTTTCTCCCTGCAGTGTTTTGTTTTACGATAAACAACGACCACGAGTCGTTTAATTCTTATATGGGATATCAACATTTTACAGCCTATAAATGTCTATACATTGTACAAGCTTTAAAAACATTTACCCGTATTTAAATAATGACGACTCCCTGAAAACAATCCGACCTCGGCAATGTTAGACAACTCCCATTTTATTTACGACGTCATCAAGTTGCGAGTGCATGTTCGAATGTCAGAAATGACGTCATGATAGAACAATGTTGTACCGTGAAATAAAACCACGCTTCGTTCTTCATTGGTCTTGGCGGTTTTATCGGGTGGCGTACATAAGGACTTACTGGATGAACGACAAGGAAATTCTCCTTGTGTTTAAGATTTCGCGACAGTTCTGAAGGCAGGATGGAACTTGACGAGCTAGCAACAGTTGTGTCCAGGGAACAATGTTGATCCACTTGTGTTAAAACCTGCCGCTTTAACTCCTTGTCTTCCGGGACACACTCCTGCCAAATACAGACATATACAGAAACTTCAGTGAGGGTGTGAGATGAGTTTCAGGCCGCCTTTAAGAGTGTTAAGTTATACATCTTGTCGTCAACTTTAAATGAATAGGCGTATGTGCTCCTATCGGATTCGTTGAAGATTCCAACACCTAAAATACATGTCTTCGTATGTCCGTAGAAAAACGTAGCATTCACTCACTCAACATTGTCCGTGGTGTCTTGACTAAACAGGCGTCACCCAAGCGCGGATGACGCTACATTCAAACATAAATCAACCGTCGAAATGCTGCCCTTACATTCATACCACTTTTGACTCACCTGGACCCAGATGGCGCCGGTGACACACTCCCCAAGGTCTTGTACCCCCCGTATCCTCCCCCACTGCTCCTCCACCCCCAGCGTACCACGGAGAAGGCCGCCACGTGACAGGCTGTGCAGCTGCTCCAGCAGTGACTCAAGAGTGCGCGTCACGCGATCAGGGATGACGTCATACAGCGCAACCTGGTAGCCAGCACTTGCAAACAGCACCGCCCAGCTTCCTCCAATCTGGCCACTGTAGAAGCGAAAAACAGGTACAAACTAACAGGTTGTGTGTTAAAACAGCGTGAAAGTACCTCAGGTTATCATACAGCGTTTGGATTTAGTGAGTTAGTTGGGTTTAAGGCCGCTTGGAGCAGTATTCCAGGTATATCACAGCGTTAGTCTGTCACACAAACCCTGATACAAATATATCCAATACAGCCCATGCAAGTCTATACTGTTTGGCAAGTCTAGATTACTGCAGTATCTGAAAATGAAGAGAGTCTCTGTGCTCCTTTTTATTATATTTTTATGAAGATAAATTAACAACTGTTTGTTTTTCTGTAAGATATGTTCATTTCAGAGACTAGATGTTAGTCTTATCACAGCGTGCCAGCTTGATGGGAAAAAAGCCCGACACAGAGCTAGAATACATGTAGTACCCATGCAGACACAGGTACAACACAGAATGTAGCGGAGGATGAACGCTGGGTGAACACTGGATGAACACTGGATGAACACTGGGTGAACACTGGATGAACACTGGATGAACAGCGGGTGAACACTTGATGAACACTGGATAAACACTGCATGAACACCGGGTGAACACCGGGTGAACACTGCATGAACACCGGGATGAACACCGGGTGAACACTGCATGAACACCGGATGAACACTGGGTGAACACTGCATGAACACCGGATGAACACCGGGTGAACACTGCATGAACACCGGGTGAACACTGCATGAACACCGGGTGAACACTGCATGAACACCGGGTGCACAACGGGTGAACACTGCATGTACACCGGGTGAACACTGCATGAAAACCGGGTGAACACTGGGTTAACACTGGATGAACACTGCATGAACACTGGATAAACACCGGGTGAACACTGCATTAACACTGGATGAACACCGGGTGAACACTGCATGAACACAGGGTGAACACTGGGTTAACACTGGATGAACACTGGGTGAACACCGGATGAACACTGGGTGAACACCGGATGAACACTGGGTTAACACCGGGTGAACACTGGATGAACACTGGGTTAACAACGGATGAACACTAGGTGAACACCGGATGAACACTGGGTTAACACCGGATGAACACTGGGTTAACACTGGGTGAACACCGGATGAACACTGGGTTAACACCGGATGAACACTGGGTGAACACCGGATGAACACTAGGTGAACACCGGATGAACACTGGGTTAACACCGGATGAACACTGGGTTAACACTGGGTGAACACCGGATGAACACTGGGTTAACACCGGATGAACACTGGGTTAACACTGGGTGAACACTGGGTTAACACCGGATGAACACAAGGTGAACACTGGTTTAACACTGGGTGAACATTGGGTTAACACTGGGTTAACACCGGGTGAACACCGGATGAACACTGGATGAATGTGGAGCCTCGTGGAACAATAACTCAAACACTCATATTCTTTAATTATTTATTCTGCAAATACACCACGAACATGGTTGTCTCTACAGAGATGTTGGCTGATGCATCTGCCTACTTTCATCATCCAACTATGAACACCCTCGAACAACCTGATATTCACATATGAAAACCCTACCAAAGCTGGAATGTCCGTTAGAACCTATATTTCCCTTACTGGTGCCTTCCTCAATCTGATATTCCCGTACGATCACCTTCCCAAACAAAATAGCCCTCCATTAACGCCCTGCAAACCCCGATTTCATCGTAGTAAAACCCTCCGAACACTTATCTCCCCGTAATAACACCCCCGTCAACCTGGACCTCCCTCGAGGCCCAGCTCCCTCGTAGGAACCCTCTTCTACCCATGCTCTATTATTTCAACCATGTTATCATAAGGATCTCAGGCACATGGCCAATTCACGGGGTGGATCTAAGTGCCCCCGCTAGGTGTCGCTTCTTCTCTGTCCAAGTCCCGGATGAGACGAGACAAAGCTGCTAAGCGTCCATCTCGCCACTGACGTTTCTCCTGGAGTTTGTCAAGAGGGCAGAAGAGCTCTAGTTGCTGGAACATCTTCTCTACTGTCGGTCCCCCCATCTTCTCGGGTGCAGCAAACGTTTTCTGTACTCTGTAAACAGCCTCCCCATATTTGTTGCAGAGATCCATGAACCCTGAAACGGTCATTATTTTATTGATGTTTACATCCCAGAACACCGAGGTATTAAGTACATTAACAGAGTATACACGCCATCTCTTTATACATTCCATCTTGGTACAATTCCTCACTCGTAATAGGGAATAATGGCAATGCGATCCCTATGACCTTCATTACTAAGAGGGGAATACCCTAATATACCAAAACAAGTTAGAGATTCTTTAAATGACAAGCTATCTTTACGGCACTGTGTGAGTATATTTGAACTCTGTGAGTATATTTCCCATATGACACTGTGTGAATTTTGAAACAGATTTTCAAGACTTCATGAGCAGTCAACATAGAGACACGTCACATCACCACCAACCCACCCCACCCCCCTCACAGACACACAACCACCCCTCGTTCTCTCATAAGTGTCATTGTGCTTGAATACAAGCAGAATCGCAAATTATTGTGATGTTTATTACATGAGCGAGTGTGACGTTTCCACAAAACAAACTACGCGAAACCTCGTTCTTTAGAGTGAGTGAGTATAGTTTTACGCCGTCTTTAGCAATATTCCAGCAATATCACGGCGGGGAACACCAAAAATGGGCTTCACACATTGTACCCATGTGGGGAATCGAACCCGGGTCTTCAGCGTGACGAGCGAACGCTTTAACCACTAGGCTACCCGACCGTCCCTGTTCCCGAGTCGTTCACTGGATAATCAAAGCGTAGCTGGTGATAAACCTCTGGCCTCTTGCCTCACCGTCTGCATTGAGATGTTCAACCTGGAACGGCCCGAAGAAGGCGTACCACATCCCTAGCCCCTCCGTCATGGCGACCTCAATGGCTTCAACGTCACACACGTCATTCTGGGAAAAAATATATCGAAAATTGTACCCTTGAAAAGAATAATTACGCTTCACACTGTTGCAAATGTTATATGTCCTCGTGTATAGCAGCATATATAATGATATATTTTAACTATCATGCACCATTATTATACAGCTGTACAGTTATGAATCCAATTATACTCGGTGTAAAACATAATACGCATTAATGTAATGCACGTTAAAATGTTTATGTACTATTAAATATCGTGATTTTTGTCGTTATACTATTAAACACCATCCACGTTCTATCTGTTATATATTCTGTTTGTATTGACTGTATTTTTGGCAAGTTCAACCTTTATAAGGTCGTAGGCCACACTCAGTATCGCAAACTGGATCCTCCCCACGGCAAACCCATCCACCTCCTTGTAGAACACGATGGGCACCTGACCAATGGCAGCCATGATCTCAGAGGTGGCAGTTGTCACGTGATCAGCAGTCCAGGAAGCAGGCACAAGTTCCACGACTGGGACATAAAATGGAGGATTAGTCTGAAACAGATGAAGATGAAACCATGACAACCAGCGCAGTGTCATGAGGGGATGCTAGATGCAGCATCACTCAGATATCGACAGTTTATTTCTCATTTGCACAAATAGGAACCATGATGCGATAAACAGAATATCAACACGGATGTTTTGTCAAGGACCTCCCTACATGCCGATTTCCTGGAGTGAGTCAGTGAGTGAGTATAGTTTTACGCCGCTTTTAGCAACATTCCAGCAATATCACGGCGGGGACACCAGACATGGGCTTCACACATTGTACCCATGTAAGGAATCGAACCCGGGTCTTCGGCGTGACGAGCGAAAGCTTTACTGTTTACAAGGTTTAGTCAGGAAGTAACAAAACAAGACTGATGCGCTTCCAGGAATTTGTCTCTGTTGGACTTGTGGTCAGATGTGATGTCTTTCTTTATGTGAGTGAGTGAGTGAGTGAGTGAGTGAGTGACTATGGTTTTACGCCCCTTTTAGCAATATTCATGGGCTTCACACATTGTACCCATGTGAAGAATCGAACCAGGGTCTTCGGCGTGACGACCGAACGCTTTACTGTTTAGTGAGTGAGTGAGTGAGTGAGTGAGTGAGTGAGTAGGGTTTAACGCCGCTTTTAGCAATATACCATAAAATACCGGGCACACCAGACATAGGCGTCACTCACTGTAGCCATGTTTTCTCAATGTGACACTAGGTATCTCTTTATTGGTAAGATGGCCAGATATCTTACCGGATGTGCCACCAGGAATCGGTCTTTGTTTGTGAGGTGGTCAGACAGGAGGGACGGCATCATCGCGCTGGTGGAGCTCGCCAAGATGGCTGTTGACGTCATGGCCGCATCCACATCCAGCAGCACGGCTCTCTTCAGCTCCCTCTTCTCGGGAACACATTCCTGCCGTCACAAGCAAACCATCACACATACTTCTTGCTGATGATTCAGAGTTCTCGATCAATCGTGTAATTGCTTAAACAGTATTTACAACAAATATATTACTCGTTAAATGACATTCATTAAACAATACAACTATCAGATTTACCTGTATGTACACGGCGTCGTTGACCGCCTCCAGCAGAGATGTGCTTGTGGTAATTCTCGAGAACTGGACATCAGCGGACAGGGTTCCTCGACCTAAGCCTCGCTCTGATAACATCGTCAGTTGTATCTGAATGTCCGTCATGGCGTCCTTGACCTGGCGCGAATCAGTGTCAAAGAGGGACACGAGGTAGCCGCCCGAGGCAAATAGCATCGCCCAACTTCGTCCAATCAACCCACTGACAATGATACAAACCCAAAGATCATTCGAAGAAGGCGGATGCCTTAATGCTTAACATGAACTTCATACGTCACACGTAGCGTACAATCTGTGCCTCCGTGTTTCACACGTGTTTACTTACCCTCCCTGTACCACACATGCCTATCTATGTTCCCTGTATCATACATGCCTATCTATGTTCCTTGTACCATACATGCCTATCTATGTTCCCTGTATCATACATGCCTATCTATGTTCCCTGTATCACACATGCCTATCTATGTTCCCTGTATCATACATGCCTATCTATGTTCCCTGTATCATACATGCCTATCTATGTTCCCTGTACCACACATGCCTATCTATGTTCCCTGTACCATACATGCCTATCTATGCTCCCTGTACCATACATGCCTATCTATGCTCCCTGTACCATACATACCTATCTATGCTCCCTGTACCATACATGTCTATCTATGTTCCCTGTATCATACATGCCTATCTATGTTCCCTGTACCATACATGCCTATCTATGTTCCCTGTACCATACATGTCTATCTATGTTCCCTGTACCATACATGCCTATCTATGTTCCCTGTACCATACATGCCTATCTATGTTCCTTGTACCATACATGCCTATCTATGTTCCCTGTATCATACATGCCTATCTATGTTCCTTGTACCATACATGCCTATCTATGTTCCTTGTACCATACATGCCTATCTGTGTTCCCTGTACCATACATGCCTATCTATGTTCACTGTATCATACATGCCTATCTATGTTCCCTGTACCATACATGCCTATCTATGTTCCTTGTACCATACATGCCTATCTATGTTCCTTGTACCATACATGTCTATCTATGTTCCCTGTATCATACATGCCTATCTATGTTCCCTGTATCATACATGCCTATCTATGTTCCTTGTACCATACATGTCTATCTATGTTCCCTGTGTCATACATGCCTATCTATGTTCCCTGTATCATACATGCCTATCTATGCTCCCTGTACTATACATGCCTATCTATGTTCCCTGTATCATACATGCCTATCTATGGTCCCTGTATCATACATGCCTATCTATGTTCCTTGTAACATACATGTCTATCTATGTTCCCTGTATCATACATGCCTATCTATGTTCCCTGTATCATACATGCCTATCTATGTTCCCTGTATCATACATGCCTATCTATGTTCCTTGTACCATACATGTCTATCTATGTTCCCTGTATCATACATGTCTATCTATGTTCCCTGTACCATACATGCCTATCTATGTTCCTTGTACCATACATGTCTATCTATGTTCCCTGTATCATACATGTCTATCTATGTTCCCTGTATCATACATGCCTATCTATGTTCCCTGTATCATACATGTCTAGCTATGCTCCCTGTACTATACATGCCTATCTATGCTCCCTGTACCATACATGTCTATCTATGCTCCCTGTACCATACATGCCTATCTATGCTCCCTGTACCATACATGCCTATCTATGCTCCCTGTATCGCACATACCTATCTATGCTCCCTGTACCATACATACCTATCTATGCTCCCTGTACTATACATGCCTATCTATGCTCCCTGTACCATACATACCTATCTATGCTCCCTGTACTATACATGCCTAGCTATGCTCCCTGTATCATATATGCCTATATATGTTCCCTGTACCATACATGCCTATCTATGCTCCCTGTATCATATATGCCTATCTATGTTCCTTGCACCATACATGCCTATCTATGTTCCTTGTACCATACATGTCTATCTATGTTCCCTGTATCATACATGCCTATCTATGTTCCCTGTATCATACATGCCTATCTATGTTCCTTGTACCATACATGTCTATCTATGTTCCCTGTGTCATACATGCCTATCTATGTTCCCTGTATCATACATGCCTATCTATGCTGCCTGTACTATACATGCCTATCTATGCTCCCTGTGCCATACATGCCTATCTATGCTCACTGTACTATACATGCCTATCTATGCTCCCTGTGCCATACATGCCTATCTATGCTCCCTGTTTCACACATACCTATCTGTGCTCCTTGTATCACACATACATATCCATGATCCGTGTATCATACATACCTATCTATGATCCGTGTATTATACATGCCTATCTATGCTCCCTGTACCATACATGCCTATCTATGCTCCCTGTGCCATACATGCCTATCTATGCTCCCTGTATCATACATGCCTATCTATGCTCCCTGTACTATACATGCCTATCTATGCTCCCTGTGCCATACATGCCTATCTATGCTCACTGTACTATACATGCCTATCTATGTTCCCTGTGCCATACATGGCTATCTATGCTCCCTGTTTCACACATACCTATCTGTGCTCCTTGTATCACACATACCTATCCATGATCCGTGTATCATACATACCTATCTAAGCTCCCTGTACCATACATACCTATCTATGCTCCCTGTATCACACATACCTATCTATGCTCCCTGTGCCACACATGCCTATCTATGCTCCCTGTACCATACATGCCTATCTATGCTCCCTGTGCCACACATGCCTATCTATGCTCCCTGTACCATACATGCCTATCTATGCTCCCTGTACTATACATGCCTATCTATGCTCCCTGTACTATACATGCCTATCTATGCTCCCTGTACCATACATGCCTATCTATGCTCCCTGTACCATACATGCCTATCTATGCTCCCTGTACTATACATGCCTATCTATGCTCCCTGCACTATACATGCCTATTTGTGCTCCCTGTACTATACATGCCTATCTATGCTCCCTGTATTATACATGCCTAGCTATGCTCCCTGTACCATACATGCCTATCTATGCTCCCTGTACTATACATGCCTATTTGTGCTCACAATATCGAATATTAAAGTGTTTCACCCTGTTTCACACATTTCTTTCTGTGTCGCTGTACCACAGATTTTAAAGCATCGAGGCGCTGGTTGCCTTACCTATCCTTGGTCTTTTGTAAACTAATATGATATCAAGAATTCAGTTAATGCGTTAATACACATATAAAGTGAAGCCTAGCTTCACACAATTTAGTCCAATCGGTTTTCCACGGTTCATCCCGGACGTACCGTACCAGAATCCCCGCCTGTCAGACATGGGAACCGCCTCCATGGTCTAGCGGTAGAGCGTCCGCCCGGAGAGCGGAAGGTCCGGGGTTCGATCCCCGGCCGCGTCATACCAAAAGACGTTAAAAGATGGTACTTGTTGTTACCCTGTCTGGCGGTCGCCATTAAGGGGCTAAAACAAGGACTGGTCGGCTCGGAGTCAGTATACTGTGTCTGAGAGAGGTATTCATGTTAAACTGCGGCATGGTATCTCAGTGTGCTAGCACTATAAATCGGCATCAGTCCGGTCTAGTACAAGCAGCCACACACACACATACACGTGCATGCACGTCGCTATATAAGTGCAATAATCTTGGAGGCGACGTTAAACCCATTTTCACCTCACCTCAGATATGGGGTCTTGCCAAAATATGGAAATTAACTAGAGACAAATACCTGCACTCGGCCCATGATAGCCGACAGGATTACAGTGTATTGTTGATTTGCTGTTTTCGTCCTCCCAAACTGAGGATGTTCTTAGTAGAAGTATTACACTGATGGTGAAATAATCTATTTAACTATTTTAAACTGACTCTTTGAGTGGCATTCTAGAAGTTGGTGAGTATGTAAGAAAACGTACAACTTTATGGATAACAAGTTCTGGTATATTGCATATAGCGACCTTTCTATGTATATTCTTACACAGTTATATAGCTGGAGTGACAACCAGGTGATGAACGGTTTATATCCTGACATGTTGTGATAAGCAGCATATTAACATAGACAACAACAGGTAATAGATAACAAGTAGCATACAGATAATTGGATGAAGCCAAACGTACAGTAAGAATAACAAATAGCACACAGGTTATGAAACACACGGTGCAGTGATCAACAGAGATGAAAGGCAATACATCTCGTTTGCCTATGAAGATCTAATCAAGCAATGGACTATTTTAATCAGGATCGAGTCAACTTGTCACAACTGTTTAATCCTTTTTATCCTTACTGTACATCTAGTAATGAAGCATTAAAATGTATCCTGACTATTTATTCCGCTAAGTCCATGTGTAAAATATAATAACCTTTATTCAGATTTGATTGAATGTAACGTCGGTGTTCGCAAAGGTTGTGTACTCAGCCCCTACGTATTTTCGATGTTTATTAATGAGTTGGCAGAGGAAATCAAAGCATCTTGTAGTTACGGTAACCAGTTTCACTTAGACATAGTACATTTGTTCTTTTCACTTTTCGCTGATGATGTTGCTGGGTTACTATATATTGCTGTAACGATCAACCAACTATTAACCTGGATAAGACAAAAGTTTTTTTAAAGAAAGGAGGTATTCTGGCGAGAATTGAAAAGTGGTATTACCAAGAGAAGCTGTTGGATTGTGTTTCATGTTATACATACTTGGGAGTTACTCTAAGTAAACCTTTTTCTTGGGTTCCACGTATAGAAAATGCTAGTTGAAAATGCTAGTTCACGGGCTAAGAAGACATTGTTCAATGTTTTGAGATCACCCTATTAATTTAAGACAATTCCTTATGACCTGTTCCTTAACACAATTGATACACATCGTATTTAAAGAAAACTGGTCCGTTAAAGTCAAACACTTTTACTGTATTTTCTTAAGAAAATCTCTGTCAGAAGTGTTGGGTCCGATTTGGCCCGGGCTGTCAAAATCAACTTAAACCTCACAGATGTATATTCAAATGTATTCACATCTATAAACGAATTTAATATCTACCTATATACCACTTTAAAGTGTCTCGGTTCGCTGTATTTAAAGAAAACAAGGTGCTCAAAGTGAAGCCCTTTTCCCTCTACATTCTCAACATAGTCTCTATCAAAAGTGTTTGGCTTGTGTTGGGTCCGACTTGGTCCGGGCTGTCAAAATCAACTTTAAACACATAGATGTATCA